TGCCCACTTGGCCCTCCCAAAGTGCTGGATTACAGGCGTAAGCCAGACCGCCACCTGGGTGAAAGGGAGGGAGGGAGGGAGGGAGGGAGGGAGGAAGGAAGGAAGGAAGGAAGGAAGGAAGGAAGGAAGGAAGGAAGGAAGGAAGGAAAAGACAAGAAAAGGCAAGGCAGGGCAAGGCATGCTGAGAAGGCAGGGTGAGGCCCTACTCCAAGGAGGGCAGGCAGTGAGGAGCGCAGGGAGGCAGCCTGCTGTTTATGTCTTTGTAGGCACTCATTCCTCATGAATCCAAGCGATTAGAGTGTGTCACCACTATCTTTTGATGTTTATTACTTTTGCCTGGTCTCTAGCAAACCCTTCAACCTGCAGATTTAGATCTGTCTTCAGTTCAGCCAAGTTTTCCTCTTTTATTTTTGAATATTTTTTCTTCCCTGTTAGTCATGTTCTTTCTTCATTAATACCCATTCTCCTGATTGAATTTCCAATCTCTTTTCTTCAAAGCTGCTGCTCTGCCAATGATTGCTTCTAACTTCTCTGGTCCTTTTTTTGTTTGTTTTGTTGTTGGTTTTTTTTTTTGGTGTACTCTGAAAAAGCCTCTCAAACCTAAGCTCCGTGTCACTGAGTCCGCTGTCTGAAGGGTTCCCGTAGATTCTCCCTGTCGCTGACTCCTCTGTGACCCTTCTGTGATGCTTGTGTCCTTGGATGCTTTACCTGACTACCAGCTCCGTTTCCACCGCAGCTTGTCCTCGTCCTCTCTTCCTCACTTGGTTTGCAGATTCAATGTTTTCATTTTGGAAAAGAAACCTTACATCTGTTTCCTGGAGTAAATATTTTTAGAATTCTGTTTTTTCTCTTTCCTTGATATCATGACAATATGGTTTTCTGCTCCATCTGTCTTTTCTTCAGGGGGCTGGATGGCTGAGTTCACTCTCATGCCCAAGCTTTTGCCTGTCAAGTGGAGGGCATCCCCATCCCACTATGTGAGTGAGCTGCATCTCTTATTCAGGAAGGGGGCCCCTGAGGGCAGATGGAGCTCACTACAGTGGTGAAGGGGCCATTGGAGAAGAGCCTGGGCCGCCGAATTCTGCCTGTTGGAAACACTGGGTCTTCACTGGTCAGCAAAGCATCCTCATGACTGCTGGTTCCTGGGCACAAAAGGTGCTCATGAACAGCTGACTCATGTCGAGCCCACCTCTGCAAGTATCAGCGGGTTCAAGAAGGGGTTCCTCCATCCCAGGAAATGCTCACGTCAGCATCCCAGGGCTTCCAGGTGCAGCCAAGACTGTGCCTGCCTATCTGAAGCTGGGGTGTCTGCAGGCCCTTAAGACAAGGCGGGCACTGGCCCCATCTCCCCCGTGGCTGCCGCCCCTGCATGCCCACCCTGGAGAGGAGGGCATTCTACTAGCATTTCTTTGACTTTCTTTCCCACACCACGCTGCCTCCCCTGGAGGGAGGGCTGTATGTCTGCTTTAGGCCACAAATTCACTGTGGTCTCAGCAGCCTAGCACCTGACAGAAACCCCTTGAAGTTTGCAAAATGTAGTTGATGCTTTCACTGAGTTTCAGTAGGACTTCTCTGATTTTTGTTTTCTTTTTTTTTAAATCCCATTCTTCTGACTTCAGACAATGGCCATCTTCATTTATACATCTCACATCTGGTAAGTTACAGGCTATGTCAGTTGCTGTCAATTGCCACTGGCCCTGCAAATGCATTTTACATACACATCTATGGCTAAGGAACGTAGTGAGTAATTTTTCCTAGTGAAATTTTAATAAGGGACACAATTTTAATAAGGACAAAAATATTTCATATGCGTGTAAGGGTGGTGGCACGTCTCTAGGGAATTTGGAGAGAAAGTTCAGCTTCTTCCTCTAAAGATGGAGAAGATCACAGGGCCAACCTCAAGTTCTGTGGCTTAAATTAATTAAGACAACCAAGACTCGTGAGGTCCTTGGGATGCCTGACCCATGGTAGTGATCAATAAGTGACGTTTAGACATTATTTACCAAAAGTTTTTTTTCTTTGTTTCTTTCTTTTTTGAGAGAGTCTTGCTCTTGTCGCCCAGCTGGAGTGCAATGGTACGATCTCGGCTCACTGCAACCTCCACCTCCAGGATTCAAGCGATTCTCTTGCCTCAGCCTCCTGAGTAGCTGGGATTATAGACATCTGCCACCACACCTGGCTAATTTTTGTATGTTTAGTAGAGACGGGGTTTTGCCATGTTGACCAGGCTGTTGTCGAACTCCTGACGTCATTATCTGCCTGCCTCGGCCTCCCAAAGTGCTGGAATTACAGGCATGAACCACTGTGCTTGGCCCAAAAGTTATTACTCTTATCCCTGCTACAACTTGACCTCCTTGGTTAAATTGCTATGCTATGGTTAAATCGTATTGCGTATTCACAGCAATATATACAGCAAGCTCTAAAACACAAGAGACCTAGGGTTGGGCTTATCCTCTTACCTCCACTTCAGAACTAAAGTCAGATTTTTTAGTCAGAACTTTGACTAAAGAATATTGGTGGATCTGCAAACCAGTTCTGGGTGCCAAAAAAACAGCATTGTAGTACTTGGGTTTATCCTATCAAGTTAATCTTGCCCCAGACTTCTTTAGGAATAATAAGTACAATGTTAGTGTTACTAAATATAATATAAAAATATATAAATGTTATAAATATATAAGTACAAAATATATAAATAGTATAAATATGTAAATGTATAATATAAATATGTAAATATATAATATAAATATTATAAATATGTGAATATATAACTATTATGCATATGTAATATATAATATAAATATTATAAATATGTGAATATATAACTATTATGCATATGTAATATATAATATAAATATTATAAATATGTGATTATCTAATATAAATAATACAAATATGTAAATATATCATATATAAATATTATAAATATATAAATATTTAGGAATGATAAATACAATAAACATTGTCTTAGGAATAATAAATACAGAGTTTCCGAAAAATTCTTTTAGGAATAACAAATACAATAAATAATAAATATAATACAATAATAGTAAATACAATAATAAATAAATCCAATGTATAAATAATAAGTACAAACTCAGGAATAATAAATACAATAGATAATAAATACAATAGATAGTAAATACTATAGATAAATAATACAATGCAATACAATAAAACACAAGGAATAATAAATGCAATACAATAATAAACACAACAGCAAATACAATTATTTTTTAGAAATAATAAATAAATACAAATATTTGTATATATACACACAGAAAGAAGAGTGACTTCAGAGAGATGCATTTATACCTAATTTTGTAACCCTTTATATCACATGCAGTAGGAGTTAGGATTTGCTTTCAGCCCCCAAGGCAGGCCCTTCTTCCCAGTGCAGCCTCTGAATCCTCAAACGCAGACTCAGCCCAGAGCTCCAGCCGCCTCCTCATTGGTGCCTTTCTGTTGTTGCTATTTTCTCAGAACACAATTGGTAAACGAGGTGCTGTGGACTGGGCTGTGATGAAAGGAAACCTTAAGCATTTTCCAGCATCTCGGCTGCCCAGTGTCTGCCCCAGGGTTAGTCCCCATCTCTGCACTCTCGAGTTCCCTGCTGAGTGGCAGGAAAGGAGAGCTGCATGGGGGAGATGGCACCTTGGGCTTAGGTGGCCTTGGTGCAGGCGACAGCTCTGGCTTTGCCTGCTGAGTGGCCACAGGCAGCTGCACAACCTCTCTGAGCTTCGGTTTCCTGACCTGTGAAACGGACTTACAATGCCCTCCTGGGTAGGCGGCGTCCATGGGGAGAAGAGCTCTGCAGGTGGACAAGCCAGCACTGAGTCCGTCCAGTGAGCCCCCGTCACTCTTCCTCTGGCCCAGTTATTGCTGTGGGCCCAAAATGAGGGCCCCAGAAACAGCCTCCAAAACAAAAGTTTTTCTCTGACCTTCTCCTGCCCTCCTGTTTCTCAGTCCCGTTCTCTCCTGAGGCCAGCCATAAAAACTAGAATCCCTTTTCCCCAAGGCAGGTCATAGAATCCGTAGCTCTTCCCCCAAAGCCAGCCATAAAACCTAAAATTATAACTCTAACTTTCCCTCTGCCTTTCTGTGTAAAAACTGGCCATAAAGAAATTCTCTAATGATCAGTGATGATGAGTTTTTTTCATATGTTTGTTAGCCAATCGTTAGAGAAATACAAATCAAAGCCGCCAGTCAGAATGGCTATTATTAAAAAGTCAGGAAACAATAGATGCTGGCGAGTCTGTGGAGAAATAGGAATGCTTTTACACTGTCGGTGGGAGTGTATATTAGTTCAACCACTGTGGAAGACAGTGTGACGATTCCTCAAGGATCTAGAACCAGAAATGCCATTTGACCCAGCAATTCCATTAATGGGTATATAATCCAAAAGATTATAAATCATTCTACTATAAAGACACATACACATGTGTGTTTGTTGCAGCACTATTTACAATAGCAAAGACTGGGAACCAACCCACATGCCCATCAATGATAGGCTGGATAAAGAAAATGTGGCACATATACACCATGGAATACTATGCAGCCACAAAAAAGGATGAGTTCGTGTCCTTTGCAGGAAGCTGGAAACCATCATTCTCAGCAAACTATCACAAGAACAGAAAACCAAACACCACATGTTCTCACTGGTAAGTGGGAGTTGAACAATGAGAACATATGGACATAGGGAGCGGAACAACACATACTGGGTGCTGTCTTGGGGTTGACGGGCAAGGGGAGGGAAAGCATTAGGATAAATACCTAAGATATGCAGGGCTTAAAACCTAGATGACAGGTTGATAGGTGCAGCAAACTACCGTGGCACATGTATACCTATGTAACAAACCTGCATGTTCTGCACTTGTATACCTTAACTTAGAGTAAAGTAAAATAGAATAAATTCCCTAACCTACCTTGTTTGACTGTAGGTCATGAGACTCCCCCATTCCAGAAAGGGCCTTGTCCCCTTCCCAGAAGAAAGGAACGCTGCTTGGAGAGGCTAAGAAGAATCTAGACGGACAGGCCTGGCTGGGTTTTGCCATTCAGTCTATCAGCCTTTGTTGTCCAATCCTGTTTCGACATAGCTGTCCATAGGTTGTTGAACCTAAGCAGAAGAATGGACAACATTTCCTGCATCTTTGGGTCTTCGTTCTGAAGGTTCCTGGGTGCACCTTAATAAATCGTCAGAACTGGACTTCCTCACTCCCGAACACCCCTTGGTCCATTCAGCCGGGCTTCTGTGCCTCCACCAACCACAACTCCGCTATTTTTACCACATGGGCAGATTCCATTCACTTAATCACCAAATCTCCCTGGCCTCTCCCAAGGAGGCCCCAAGCTCCTCCAGCTCCTTCAGCCTGGAAGAGGGAAGAGGAAGCAGAGCTCAATAGATTGTTTCAGCCGCTTAAGGAAGGTTCCTGAAACCCAATAATGACCCTGTCATCACTGAAACCCCAAGTAAGCCATTAAGAAGAGTACAGGGCTGGACTTGACAACACACATTTGTAATCTCTGCACTTTGGGAGGCTGAGGCAGTTGGATTGCTTGAGCCAGGAGTTGAAGACTAGCTTGGGCAACATGGCAAAACCCCATCTCTTAAAAAAAATACAAAAATTGGCCGGGCGCGGTGGCTCAAGCCTGTAATCCCAGCACGTTGGGAGGCCGAGGCGGGCGGATCACGAGGTCAGGAGATCGAGACCATCCTGGCTAACATGGTGAAACCCCGTCTCTACTAAAAATACAAAAAACTAGCCGGGCGTGGTGGCGGGCGCCTGTAGTCCCAGCTACTCGGGAGGCTGAGGCAGGAGAATGGTGTAAACCCGGGAGGCGGAGCTTGCAGTGAGCTGAGATCCGGCCGCTGCACTCCAGCCTGGGCGACAGAACGAGACTCCGTCTCAAAAAACAAAAAACAAAAAACAAAAATTAGCTGGGCATGGTAGAACATGCACCAGTAGTCCCAGCTATCAGGGAGGCTAAGGTGGGAGGATTGCTTCAGCCTGGGAGGTCAAGACTGCAGTGAGCCATGATCGTGCCACAGCACCCCAGCTCGGGCAACATAGCTAGACCCTGTTTCAGAAAAAAAGAAAAGAAAAGAAAAGAAAAAATAAAACAAGCCTGTGGTGCCGACAATGAACTCCCGCCCCACAGAGTGCCCTGGAGTATACCTGATGCCCACTGGCCACTCTCTCCAGCCAGCAGGATGGCTTGTTTCCTGATGGCTGTGACGATGGCAGGTCAGAGGACCACTGTGGGGAAGGACAGGAGTGGGATGTCTGCCCTGTCCTCCCTCCCCCATCCCCACCTCTTCCATGAGACTTTGGGTAACTTTGGTCAACAGACAGTTGTTCCTGGGTCGGGAAACACAGGTCACATGTGCACATATACAGGCACCAACATGCCTATCTGCACACAAATACACACACAGATGTGTTTGTTCACACGGACACAGATATGCACACCTGCACACTCACATATATGTACACACACACACTCATGTGCACTCCCAGGTACCACAGGCATCTGGGCACCCTTCCCATCTTCAGGGCCCCTGAGGCTGCCCTGGGCCTGGCTGGCGCTCCCTCACTTCTGGCTCCGGGTGAGTACAGGACCAGCCTAACTGTCCTTAGACATCCTCTTACCCCCACTGCCCCTGAGCCTGGCCTGCGCTGCTCCGTGAGGCAGCCGCTATTATTTAGGCTTCCGTTTTCTTCCCCTCACCAAGGAGACCTCAGGGATCCGAGCCACCCAAGGGCAGGGGCTGCGCGCATGGCTGTATGGGATTCACTTTAGAATCTCCAGTGGTGGTGTCAGACTGTGTGGGTTCCACAGTGTCAGACTAATTTTTAAAATCTCAGTGTCTGGGCTGGGTGCAGTGGCTCACTCCTGTATGTAATTCCAGCACTTTGGGAAGCTGAGGTGGGAGGATCACTTGAGGCCAGGAGTTTGAGACCAACATGGGCAACATAGTGAGACTCCCTTCTCTATGAAAAGTTTAAAAATTAGCCAGATATGGCGGTTCACACCTGTAGTCTCATCTGCTCAGGAGGCTGCGGTGGGAGGATTGCTTGAGCCCAAGAGTTAGAGACTGCAGTGAGCCATGATTGCACCACTGAATTCCAGCCCGGGTGACAATAGTGAGACTCTATCTTAAAAATGAAACAGAAAAACCCCAGCGTCTGGTCTAGGCACAGATCCCCTAATGAGCACGCACCCTCACACACACGCAAACATCCACAAACACGAACATACACAAATCCTTAAATGCATACATGAGTGCACATTCACACAAGCACACACCCTGGTGCTTGACATACACACATGGACAGGTATACACAAGCTCACACAGACATGAGCACACCACACATATCTGCACATACACAAACATGCACAGACACATGTACACTCAGCACAAACACATACAAGCACGTCCAGGCATGCACACACATGAAAACACACACTAAAGTACATACACACAAACACACATATACAGAGACATACACACATGTAAACCCATGCACAGAAGCCAGCATGCACACACAGGCATGCCGAAGTAGGGGAGGACGCCGAGACGGAGCCTTACAGCCGGTTTGGAATCCTGCCCTGTCTCCTTTTGCACGCTTGTTCCGGGATGAGGTCTTTTGCTGAATGAACAGGAGACACCCAGGCTTGGCTGACCTCCAAGAGAAGAGAAGCAGGAGTCACTGATTTCTCCTTCTAACTGTTTCATGTGCCTGCTGGCTCGCCCAGTCCCTATCCCAGACACCCTCCCTGCCCCCACCATCTATAGGCATTCCATGCGGCCTCCAGAGCCCCCGAACCCCAGCTCTGAGCAGCAGAGATGCCCCGGGAAGCAGGTCAGGCTCCTCCACCTGACACTCCACCACATCCCAATTGCACCCCAACATAGACGCCACCCCGTGTTCCAGACACTCAAAGTCCTCCTCCCTCCCACAGACCTCAAGTTGGAGGGTACCTTTGATGGTCACCCTGCTGCCCTGCCAAGCATGTGCCCACTCCAAACACCTCTGCATCCTTCAAGGCTGGCTTGCATGGCCCCTTCTCTGACCTCTCCACCCCCAGACACAGCCAGGCCCTCTCCTCTGCTGTCCCCGTCCCTAGGCATTTATACCTCCATTACTGTCCTTGTCACACTGATGTTTAGTGAGGCTCAGTTGTCTCTAGGAATAGGTCTTGCTTGTTCAGTCGCTTTTGGAGGCCACAGACTACATCCTCCTCATCCGAATGTGCCAGGAACCCGGCTCGTAGTAAGCTTTCAATAAACACATGTCGGCAAAACGAATGAACGAATGAATGTGTCGACGGTGCTAAGTTGAAGCAGGTTCTGTTCTGTTTAGAGATGGGGACCAGGGCCAGCTGGAGAAGCCTCTCTCGGCTATACTGTTCTTGAGCTCAGCTGCGTCCCCAGAGGGAAGGATCTGCAGGGAAGGCTTAGCAAAGGAAATGCCACCTCCAGTCCCATTCAACAGGAAATGCTCGCCTTCCTGTATTCCTATCTGTACGGATTTAGACGATGGAATCGAAAGTTTGCATTATCACCCATCCAGCTGTGCTCAGATGAGATTTCCAGTCACACAAAGCACGGATACACCACTTGGAAGGAAATCCCACAGCGACCATGGGAGGAGAAAGCCCTGCAGGCGCGGCTCCGACAGGAGGATGTCACGTCTCCAAGTTCATTCGCCATAAGCTGAACCTCTGCCCAGTGGGCACCCACAGATGGCAAACCTCTGCCAGTGCTGAACGTCTGCCGTGTGTTCTTATCCCATGAGCCCTGGCGAGAGCGAGCTCCCTTTTCTCCCTCCCCACCCATAAGGTCAACTCGCCCCCATCTTGGCTGAGGCTTCTCCTTGTTTAGACACTTCCGATACTTGGTTCTAAGTTTCTGCATTTACCATTAAAGCAATTATCAGCTAAAAATGCTCTGCACCCTAAAACAATGCAACCAGAGGATAGGAGCCTATTTGAAGTTATAAATAACTCCCTTTCTTCTGCCACTTGTTTGCAGTGCTGTATAAATCTTGAGGTGTGCGAATTTCATCATTACGAATGTTCTTTAAAATGTAATAAAACTTTTTTCATTAAAAAAGTCAGCCAATGAAAATCAGCCCCGCACGCACCCTCAGACGGTGGCCCGCAATATTTGCATTGCAGAACAACTGTAATTTTATTCATGGATTGGCATAGCCTCAGCCCATCGGTAATTAAACACGGAACAGCTGTCACTCTGCCCCATCCTAGGGAGACAGGACGGAATAATGAGCCCGTATCGATGGGCTTGGTGGTAGGGGGTCTGCATAGATAGACAGGGGGTGGCTGGCACAGGGAGGGGGCTGGTGCGGGCAGGGGCTGGCATGGGTGTGGGATCTCTGGGCCTGGGCTCAGGACTATACCTGGCTCACTGATTCCAGACTTCCCTTCTGGCTTCTATGGGATGACGGGACAGTACATACATTTCCCAAAGGCCACGTGGGACCTCGCAGAGATGGGCTTGGGGTTTCGGGGGAGACTGGGGAGTACTTTCAGCTTCCACCTTGAACCCTTCTGTGCTGTTTGAAACACGTTAACAAGCAAGCTGGTATTACTTCTGTAATTCACAGAGCTAATTTTCAAAAGGATAGGGTGCTGAGCAGTGGCAGCAGAAGGAAGGAGGGGACCCTGGACCTGCCAGAGCTCCTGCTGGACTCATGAAGACCTAGAGAGAGAGGTCCCAAAACTCTCTCCCAGCTAGAAGGGGTATTGAAGACCTTCTGACCTGATGTCCCATTTTGCAGATGAGAACGTCAGAGAGCTGGGGAGGCACCGTGGTTTGGAGCAGTCATTGGCTAGAGCCTGGCGCAATCCACAGATCTGGGTTCTGGACCCCCACAGCCTACAGTGTGACCTGGAGCAGACACATCTCCAGGTCCCTGGGCCTCAGTTTCCTCCTGCACACAAGGAGTAGAGATGCGGCGTGTGTGGGGGTCGGGTGGGTGCCTTTAGGACTGGCAGCACAGGGGTGCTGGGAGCAGTCTTCCCGGAGCCCCTTTTGGGCTGGATCTATTCACTTCCTGGGGTTTCAGAAGAGGAGCCAGGGGGTGAACCAGTCTACTGTCTGTTCCTCCCGCAGCCCCCCACCTGGACTCCCCTTGCACCTCCCTGGCCCCCTGGTCTACACAACAGGTTCTTTGACTACCTCTCAGCAACCTTCCCTCCCTCCCTGCTTCTTTTAGGGTTTCCAGGTTATCTGTACCACACCACCAGCACCAGCAGGGGACAGAAGACATTCTCCCAGAGCCCCGAGGAGCCCAGACCAGGGATCCAAGGGCAAGACCTCAGGGCTCTGTGTTCCTGCAGGCCCAGGCCCCGCCCACTGCTCAAGGCTGCCTACCCTCAGGGTGTGCCACGGCACATGTGATATCCATGCCAGCCCCCTTAGGGGACCCCTCCATCCTGACCTAGGCCTCCCACTGGGTCTGGAGGCCACGGGAAGGGGTGGCCTCCTCCATGAAGGCTTCCTGGCTTATCTGGGACCACAGAGCACTTGATATGGTTAGGATTTGTGTCCCCACCCAAGTCTCATCTTGAATTGTAATCCTTATAATCCCTATGTGTCATGGGAGAGACAAGGTGGAGGTAATTGGATCATGGGGGCGGCTCTCCCATGCTGTTCTTGTGATAGTGAGTGAGTTCTCACGAGATCTGGTGGTTTTATAAGGGGCTCTTCAGATATAAAATCTGATGGTTTTATAAGGGGTTTTATAAGTGCTCAGCACTTCTTCCTGCTGCCTTGTGAAGAAGGTGCCTTGCTTCTCCTTTGCCTTCTGCCATGATTGTAAGTTTCCTGAGGCCTCCACAGCCATGCTGAACTGTGAGTCATTAAACCTCTTTCCTTCATAAATCACCCAGTCTCAGACAGTTCTCTATAGCAGCATGAAAACGGACTAACACAGCTCTCTTGTTTTTCTTGAGTTAGGGAAGAGCTGAGCAGATCTGGCCAGCCAGGTGATGGGCAAGACATGAAAGGGCCTCCCTCTGTGTGGCTGTGCTGGAGGAAGTGGCTCAGTGACACCACGGTGGGGAGCAGAGACCTTCCGGGAATGGACTGGCAGGTACTGACTGTAGTGTCTGAGATCTAGTAGACCCATGTCCTGTACCTACTGTGACAATGGGTGGGGGGGTGGCATGCAGTGCTTTGGGTGGGGCACTGCCTATCCTTGTTGTGCAGAGGGTGGTGGGAAAGGCCGAGGGGGCCTGTCTGGGTGGTGGCCCTATGGAAGGATGGAATGAGGGGTTCCCGGAGAGGGGTGATGGCTGGGAATCCCTAAGGCCATCACTGGGGGCAGGGAGTCTGCCAGGTCACTGCTGGGAGAGGAAGGGGTGTGCCCACTGCCAGGCTGTTCCTTCTAGGACCCAAAGAAGGGGGGCATGTAACCCAGATCCAGAGGCAGGGGGTACCTCCATCACACCCATTGCCATACACATGTTGAGATCTGAGCGTGGCTGTGTCAGGTGCCCAGGATCTTACTTTCTCCCTGTGACCGTGAGGGTTTGATGTCCTGCTGGTCCTGATGTCCTCGGCACTGTCATGTCTGGGCCTGTGAAGGTGGCAGGATTTTCAAAGTCATCTGTGGAACATAAGCTCTAATGACAGAAGAGAATGTTTGAAATCAGGGGACCTCTGCTCAGGTTCCTGGGGCCAGGCAGAGAATGTCCTGCAAGATAGGTGGCACCAATGTTTATAAAGACCTTCAGGACTGGAGAGAACGCAGCCACACAGAAGCAGGCAATCTCCCGGCTGACAACACACAGTACCTGGGATGCGTGGATCCTGAGAAACACCACGGGGCATCGACGGGCGCACCTCTGCTCTGCTATAGGCAGAAGAGGCAAGTACTTTGGTTCATGTGAGAGCATGCATGAGAGAGTGTGGACATGTGTAGGAGTGTGTGTGTGTGTGTGTGTGTGTGTGTAAGCGTGCACTATGTGAGTATGCATGTGTATAACCATGCCGATGTGAGCAATTGTGCATATGTGAGAGTGTGCATGGGTGTGAACATGCCCCTGTAAGAGTGTGCATGTGTGCAATTCTGCACATGTGAGAGTGTGTGAGCACACACATATGTGTGTATGTGTGACAAGCCCATGCGAGAGTGTGCGTGGGTGTGAGCACGCACATATGTGTGTATGTGTGACATGCCCATGTGAAAGTGTGCCTGTGTGTGTGCGTGTGCATATGTGTATATGTGAGTGTGTGCAACTGGGTGAGTGTGGATGTCTCCATTAAAATGTGCAGTCAGGAGGGCCTGGGGACCCAAGAGCCAGCTGAATGTTTCCGCCCCAGCGCTCCTTTCAGCCCTTCCCTTATTAGTGGACAAGCCTTCAGGAGTGGAAGGTGTCATTCCCACAAGGTAGACCTGGGGGCTATCCCCAAGGCCCTTGCAGCTATCTAAGACTAAGATGGCTTGAAGTCAGTGAAGAGAAGGCTTTCTTGGGTGCAGAGCCACAAGGCCCCCACCACCCGCTAGCAGCTTTAACAGCTGTGGCTTCCGGGTGAAGGCTGCCCATAGGAGAGAAAACCTGCTCAGAGCGGGTGGGAATTTGAATCCACTTTTGGCCTTCAGTGCCCGGTGATGGTGCGGGGCTGGTGGATGTGCAGGCCAGACACGGCTCAGCTCCAAAGGTAGGGCCCCAGGGGGATTTGCCTGGGAACACTGAGGCATCCAACAGCTCAGCAAAGAGCTGGGGCGATCGCTAAGAGGAAGGAGCCAAGTTGGGCACCACAGCATCCAGTGATCCAGGCTTTCCCGCGCATAGTCATATCCTACTGTGCTGGAGCTATGGCCGCTGCCCTTCCCCCCCTCCCCCAGCCCCTCCTCACTTCCCTAGCTCCTTCCTTCCAGCCTGTGCTATTTGGGGAGGGACAATGCAGAACTGGTTTGGGCACAGTACAGGACCCTGGCTGAGCAGGAGGGGCCCTGATGGAAGAAGGCAAGGAGGCACTGCTGAGCCAGCAGGAACTATGCTTCTGCCACCCATGAGCATGTGGGGGCAGGGCCTCCTTCTGGGCTGGGACATTGCCTGGTAGCCTCTCCCTGTCTCCTCTGCCCACACCTTATACCAGTGACAGCATCCAGTGCTCCACAACGCTCCTGACGACAGCCATGGCTGCTATTTATTGAGTGGTTAACTCTGTCCAAGTCCTCTGCTTGGCGCTATATACCAAGATATCTCCACTATAGACAGATAATGACGATGCATAACAGGCCACGGGAGTGATTACTCTCTCCCTTTAGAGGTGGGGAAACAAGCTTGCGGGACTCATAGAAATAGAACTCTTGGTCACAGTCCTACAGCTACAGCAGGTTTAAGCCAAAATGGGATGTATTGGCTCATATAGCCAAAAACTCTGAGAGCA